GATATGTTCGAGCTTTGCGTCAGCCTTATTTGTGCGTGTTTGGCCTACGCAACCGTTCGAGCCGATCAGCTATTTGGTCTACTTCTGCGTCCCTGTGCTCCAGGACAATAGAATGAGCAAGTGCAGTCGGCCCGCGTCCTTTACCAAGCCAGGACCATCACGCGTCAGCAGCAAAAGCAGATCTGCTTCCTTCTCAACGGCAATCAGTGGTGGCTGTGCCAGCACGCACTGTGAACGGCCCGGATGCCTGCTGGCCTTTCCGAGCGGTGAAGAATCGAACGGTACGACGGAGTATCCAAGCGTAGTTAGTTTGTCTGGAGTATACATTGCGTCTATCACGCTGGCCCATCCCCGTCTAGAACTTGAACACCTGCAAGGCCGCGCGTCCTGATCAATCAATCGTGAAATGAGAAAGGGTCGCGCGACGCACCTGGTCCTCAGTGTAGCCCAACTCTTTGAGGATACCACCAAGCTCGCCCTGCTTCATGCCTGCCTTCTTTCCCGCGAGCGCAGCGACTTGCCCAGGAGGACCTGTGGTACACCCGGTCAGCACACATTGCAGCGGTAAAAGCACACCTGGCTCTAGCGGGGCCGGAGAGAGGACGACTCACCGCAGACAAAAATCTTGACCTTCTCCGCAAGGCTCGGCGGGGCGATGTGCTGCGCGATCATCTCCTTGTTCACGTACCCGGTGGGGCCCTTCCAGTCGGGGCCGGGCTTGTCGAGCGTGTAGATGACGTTGAACGTGTCGGGGTGCTCCTTGCGCAGCTTGTCGAACTCCTCACGGAGGAGGATGTCGCGCTCGGAGATGTTCGCAAAGATGAGCGTGAAGCGCGTCTTGTTCGACGGGTCGTTCAGCGCGTGCAAGAGGATTTGATGCATCGGCGTGCTATGGGACGAGAGGGCGTTGTCAGTGGAATGAAGGGAAAGGCGGATGGAGACGTACATGCCGGAACCACCCGCTACCATCCCCACCTCTTCGAATTCATTGACTGTATGCGGCGGGTTTGTATGCTAGAAGAGGGCCGCGGCGAAAACGACTCACCCTTGAACGGGAACTTTGGAATGGGGCCCTTGATCGCCAGCTTCTCGCCCGGCTTGAGTTCGTGGATGTGCTTCGACATCAGCCCATTGTCGTAGCGCTTGATGAGGAAGGTGATCTCGCCCTCCGCGTCAGGCAAAATTGGGGTGTAGGGCCGGATGACAGGCTTCCCCTCGCCGTTCTTGAGCGGTGCGGGGTGGTCCGGAGATGACTGGACAACAACGCAGGACGCGACGGGCAGGTCCGCGGCGGTGTCCGGCGGGAGCGCAAAGACGAATCTGCACATGGCGATAACGTCAGATCGGCGAGAGAACAGTACGGGGTGCAACGCACTTGGCGGTGTTGTGGTTGTACGGCTCGACCTTCTTCAGCTCAAAATCGATAAAGTTCTTCGGGTCGAGCGCGCCCTTTTTCGGGGCGGCGGGCTCGGCCTTGGCCTTCTGCGCGCCAGGGCCCTTTTCTAGGTAGAGGTAGAGCGAGATGCCGGCGATGCCCGCACCGCCGAGCCAGAGCGGGAGGTTGGACGGCTTTTTTGCGTCGGGCTTGGGGGGCGCGCTGGTGGAGTTGTACCGCCGCGCGCTCGCGAGCTGGGGTGGCATGGTAAGCTGCGAGGATGAGTAACGACATACAAGCTGAGACTTACGAGCGTGCGGCGCGCGGTGAAGGATGCGCGGGCGAAGGACATGTGGGCGTCGGGGCGCGGGGCGAGTGGAACGCGGACGGCGGTGAGCTGCACTCGCCAGCGACGCGAGCCGGCAAGCCGCGCGGCGCGCCACCTCAAGCGCCCTGCGGCGATCACGTCATAGGCACACACACCGGGGCGGGGTTAGGGGCACGCTGACGTAAGGTATGAGGTAGCTGGCCAGATCGGGAATGGAGACGCCGGTGGGCGATAGCAGCGGCTCCATGCGCCGCCTGTCCGCTCCTCTTTCTCCCCCCTCTCCGCGTACTCTCCTGCGCCCTCCATTTCTGCCCCGCCTCCTCTGCCATGTCCTTTGTCAAGCTCAGCATCTTTGGCACGTCCTTCGAGGTGCGTATCCCGCCCACCCGGCGCCCTGCCCGCCGTGCTGACGACCGCGCCGCGCCGCACACAGGTCACGACGCGCTATGTCGACCTCCAGCCCGTCGGAATGGGTCAGTGTCCGACACACCTCCACCGCTCCATCCGTGCTGACCTCTTCCCGTGCAGGCGCCTTTGGGCTTGTATGGTGCGCGAGCACTCCCCTCATCCACCACCCCGCAGCTGACGCGGTGCAGCTCCGCGAAAGACCAGCTCACAGGCTCGTCCGTCGCGATCAAGAAAATCATGAAGCCCTTTAGCACCCCCGTCCTCGCCAAGCGCACCTACCGCGAGCTCAAGCTTCTCAAGCACATCCAGCACGAGAATGTCCGCGCCTGTTAGTTCTCCCTGCACGCACCCGCTCACCACCCTGCAGATCATCAGCCTCAGCGACGTGTTCATCTCGCCGCTCGAAGACATGTGCGTCGTGCCCAGTCTGCCAGCCGCATACACTCTGACGCCCGCGCTCCAGCTACTTTGTCACCGAGCTGCTCGGCACAGATCTCCACCGTCTCCTCACCTCGCGCCCGCTCGAGAAGCAGTTCATCCAGTACTTTCTTTACCAGATCCTGGTACGTCGTCTCTTTCTGCGCAGCTGGTGTTATCCTGGCAGTTTTGCCACCATGCGGCGCTCTGTGTTGGGCCAAAGATGCCCCGGGGGGCGCTTGGGCACCCCTACCGTGCCGCATCGACCTATGCTACTTTGCACAAACCCGAAGGATGTCCCATGGAAGCTTGCTGCCACATCCACCCCAGTTGCGGACATTGCGCGTCCCGCCGATACTGACTGCGTCCCACAGCGCGGTTTGAAATACGTGCACTCCGCCGGCGTGGTGCATCGTGATCTCGTGAGTCTCTTCGGGCCTTTCCGCGCGTGCTTCTCTCCAACTGCCACTCTTCCCAGAAACCTAGCAACATCCTCATCAATGAGAACTGCGATCTCAAGGTGCGCCCCGCGGGCACATCCTGTCTCGCCTGGGGCTAACATGGCGGCGCCTGCAGATATGCGACTTTGGTCTCGCGCGGATCCAGGACCCGCAGATGACAGGCTACGTCTCGACGCGGTACTACCGCGCGCCTGAGATCATGCTCACGTGGCAAAAGTACGACGTTGCGGTGGATATCTGGAGCGCGGGCTGCATCTTCGCGGAGATGCTCGAGGGCAAGCCGCTCTTCCCCGGCAAGGACCACGTACACCAGTTTTCGATCATCACGGAGCTCCTCGGCACCCCGCCAGAGGATGTCATCCAGACAATTGCGAGTGAGAACGTAAGTGGATCCTGTACTGTGGAGAGAGACAAATAAGCTGAGGTGGGCTATTTCGCAGACACTGCGCTTTGTACAAAGCCTGCCAAAGCGCGAACGTGTGCCGTTTAGCGAAAAGCTGCATTGCAATGACCCCGTTGGTGCGTTTTCCTCGCCTCCCACCGGTTTTTGCCGATAACAAGATGTATTCCCTCGCAGCGATCGACCTACTGGAGAAGATGCTCGTGTTTGACCCACGGAAACGGATCAACGCGACCGAGTCGCTCGCGCACGAGTACGTCGCGCCGTACCATGACCCGACGGACGAGCCCGAGGCAGCAGAAAAGTTCGACTGGAGCTTCAACGATGCAGACCTGCATGTGGATACCTGGAAGGTGATGATGTACAGTGAAATTCTCGGTGCGCCCCTACCGTGTTGTCCCCGTACACGACTCTTCACAACGCTTACCCACGGATCCAGATTTCCACCAGGTGGGCGACTCGCGACTCAACAACGGCATCCCAGAGGGTGCACTCGCCGCGCCCGAAGACCCTGCACCCGCGCCCGCACCAGGCGCAGAGTGACCGCCCCACGCCACTCTTCCCGCTCGCCTTCCCTTCTCGTCACGTCTCCTCTGGTTGTCCGATTTCCGGTTTTTGCAGCACACCAAAGCAATGTATACATAGATGCCGCCGACGCGGGGCTCTATAATCACCCACATCTCCCGCGACACTATACACGCCCGCCAGTCCCCGCCTCGCGCCGCGCAGTAGTGTATCGTAAGATAGCCCTGTAGTACACCCTTGCTCCTTCCTTTCTGGACCGGACTGTTTGGTACCCCTGTCGTTCGTTCCTTTACCCAGCCCGAGATGTCGAATGTATGAGCTGCGCCCTGTATACGGTGGGTGGCGGCTGTGCGCTATATGTTGTGCGCGACGTGCGATGTGCGAGTGTGAGCATCGGGTCTCCAGGTGCGCGTGTGGTATGTCGTACAGCGGTCGAGTACGGGTGTTGGTTGCGGCCAAGTGTGATGATCGAGCAAGGATGCCGGGTGCACATCGACTAGGACTCGCCGTCACGGTCGCCCTCTGCGAGCTCGTACCCGACCCAGACGACCTCGGAGCAGCTCTCGCACCCCACGAGGTGCTCGCCCGCGTCCATCTCGCGCTCCGTGATCACGTACGCGCCGCCGCACCGGCACGCGTGCCGCCACACGCTCCACCCCGCGTCCGCGCCGCCCTCCTCAAAGTCCTCGAGCGAGATCACTGCGGCGGGGCGCGGGCCGCGCGGGGCGTGCGCGAGCGCGCGGAGTGAGGCGTCGTATGCGGCGCGGGCGGCGGGCGAGGAGAGGGTGGTGTAGGCCTGCTTTACGAGGTCGATGTCGATGGGGGGCGGGGGGCCGGAGGCGGGCGAGGGGGCATGGGCGCGCTTGTCGGGGTGGGAGAGGAGGAGGAGGCGGTGGTAGGCGCGCTTGATGTCGGCGGGGGAGGCGGAGGGCGGGATGGCGAGGAGCGCGTAGTAGTCGGGGGGCGGGGGGGCAGCCAGCTTGATGAGGAGGGGAGGAGGATGCGCACCAGGCACGGGTGATGAAGTTGTGGAGGCCGAGAAAATAACACCGGGGAGATGGTGTGCGTGATTGCCATTTGCAGATGTCCCCGGTAGTATATCGGATAGTACATGCGCCTGTCATTCGATGACGGCGCAAGCTTGTGCGCGCAAGAGCCGGGTTCGACTCCCGGCCGGGGAGCTCATTTTGTGTCGTCTTGCTATGCGTTTTATCTGCGGGCCCTGCGCCACGACGATGCTGCGCCACGCTGCATGTCGCCACCGCGGTAAGTATTTCTCAGCCCTGCGTCTGATTGTCAGAGTGGCTCACGCCGGAAATTATGCAAGGGTGAGTCAAAAGCACAACGTCAGCAGGAGGCGCGTATGTCAGCGGGCGGCGGCCCGCGGCAGTCTGCAGCCACTTTCGCGTTTCTGGACCAAGATCCCTCTCGCTTTTCGCAAAATGCATCACACCCTCGTCATTGCGACGCCCGCGGTGCATAAAACCCATCTTGCTATGCCGCGCGCGATGAGTAAGACAGCGCTCTCCCTGCCCACCACGGCCGCGACCATCGATTCGGACGAGTGAACATCCAGCCATTTCGAGAGAGTTCCCGTTGTCACCAGGATTACCCGCCAGCCCGCCCTCAATCGAGGCCTCTTTCACCCATCATCCAGCTCGATAACGCCATCTCAGGGGCAAAATCAAACATGCGTGCACTCTCCTCGGGCCTCATAAAAGGGCCCGCGAGACTCACCGTCCGACGTACCCAGCTCTTATCTCGCACTCTGCCCACGTCTCTTCCGCACCACTCGCCCCTCGCCACCCAGACCCGCACGAACATGAGTGCCGCATTCCTCGAGGCCGTCGCGAGCCGCCGCTCGATCTACGCCATCTCCCCCGAGACCACAATCCCGGACGAGAAGATTGAGGAGATCATCGCGTTCGCGATCAAGCACGTCCCTTCCTCCTTCAACGTCCAGTCCGCACGCGTACGTCCCCGCCCCTTTCTCCGTTGCCCCCGCGCCGGTGTCTGACGTGCCGCTCCGCAGGTCGTGCTACTCCTCGGGAACGACCACAAGAAGCTCTGGGACATCACCGAGGAGGTCCTCAGGGGCGTCGCGCCCCCCGAACAGTTCTCCGCGACCCAGCAGAAGATCCAGGGCTTCCGCAACGGCTACGGCAGCATCCTCTTCTTCGACGACGAGAACGACGTCCAGGAGCTCCAGAACAAGTTTGCCCTCTACAAGGACCGCTTCCCGATCTGGTCCAACCACAGCAACGTACGTCCTGCTTTTCCGCGCGCCGGGGGTTCCGAACTGACGGGCACTGCGTTAACTACAGGGCATGCTGCAGTTCGTCGTCTGGACCGCGCTGGAGAAGGAGGGTCTCGGCGCTACGCTCCAGGTCAGTATCTCCGACGCTCCTGCCTGACCGGCGTAGCTGAACTCTGTTGAACACAGCACTACAACCCGCTGATCACCGCTCGCGTGCTCTCCGAGTGGAACCTGCCCAACTCGTGGCAGCTCATTGCGCAGATGCCCTTCGGCAAGCCCACCGCACCCGCTGGCGAGAAGACCTTCAAGCCCATCGAGGAGCGCTTCAAGATCTTCAAGTCGTAAATCCCCGGATCTCAGAGCATATAGCTAGAGGAGTATAACCACTTGTAATGTATCCTGCAATCTAGAGCAGCTGCTGGAGTTTCAGTGTTGAGGCAATTCAAGCCGCCGCGATATGCTTGAGCGGCTCGGACTGATGAGAAACGCTCGGCAGGTGAATAGACGAGAGCATGTGTATGTTATACAATGCGTGAGCTATATCCAATACATACGTCAAAGCATGACGACGTTCTATCACTCCTGCATATCCTGCAACGTCTGCGGGTCGAATCTCTTGACCGTCTGGATCGCTTCATAACCTTTCCGTGTGAAAACGAGCTGCGTCTCCATCAGCCAACTACGGACTAGCACCAACACCCGTACCGGGCAGCGCACTCACCATGTACGGGTTCGCGGTCGAGCCCGTCGTGTCTGCAAGCACCTCGTCCTTGGAGACGACAGTCACGCTCGAGTCGTTGTACTTGAACCACGAGTCCGGGTGGTCAGGCAGGTTGCGCGAGTAGAAGAAATAATGGCCCCAGGACGGCGAAGAACCACGGTGGATGAAGACGGACGTGAGCTCGTATGCGGCGTCCCGGTTGTCCTTCCACACGTCCTCCAGCTGACTCTTGAGCTGCACGGCGTTGGCACGCTCCTTCTCTAGTTCAGACACGACGAGGTCCTGTTCACTCCGGACTGTGACGACGAGCTCCCCGTCGGCTTCTGGGAGGTCGACGATGTCTTGTTTGCCTAGAAAGTCGGCAACGTTCCCAAGTGCGGGCGCGAACGGTGCATGCTGGTAGAAACGGTCATTCTCATCACACACGCCACGGAAAGGATGGGCTTACATTACCCTCGGTCAATCGCTGTATGTGATCTCGAGAAGCATTCAGATCGGCTTGAATGGCTTTGGCGCGCGCCTTCTTCTCTGGGTCCGCGCTCTCCAGGAAACGATCCATATACACCGTCTCCCCAAACTTGACGTACGCCTGCGACTTGTATGCCTGCTGCGTCTCTCGGTTGAATTGTACGCGCTGCAGAACAGCACACGTTAGAACGCTCTGCACGTGTCGCACCTACATGACCGTGTGACCTACCTGGAGCTGAATTTGCAGCAGTGGTGGCAGGTCCACGAGGGAGACTTCCATCCGTTTCTTCTGCCCGTCGAGCTCGACTACGTCATCAAAGTACCGGCCCAGGCTGTCGTAGAGATCGTATCCTTCTTCGGACACGTTGACGTGCAAGTGCGAGAACAGATCCTCTTTTTCATGGATGGAGCTCTGATGCCGAGCGTCGTCTGCTGCTGACAATGCCGTCAGACGTTGCCGCTTCTTCCCGTAGAAGAGTCTGAGAATCAGATCTTCAGCGGCTGCAACACGATTCAGACAGGATGCATAAGGGCTACCTCTTGACCACACTGGTCTTGTCGTCTTCCACAGCAGCCTTCTCCTGCTGGAAATCCAGCAGTGCAGTCTCGATCTGGAACATGCAATTATCCATGCACTCCGACACATCATGCTGTCTCCCTACAGAGGGATTAGTCACGACTTGGACCGCGCCGCCGCACTACTCACCAAACATCATCACAGAGTCGTCAACCTGCCTTGGCTTCCGCGGGGGCAGTGGCGGCGCCTTCGCCGAGGGCGCTCGGGACACATCCTGCATCTCCACATCCTCAGGCTCCTTCAGCTTCGACGAGGACGCTACCTGGCTCGCAGGTATCGAGTCTCGGGGTGGGGACGGCGGCACGGAGGCTGGTTCTGACGGGCTATCAACATCCATGCTCGAGCCGAACTCTCGATGACGCTTGCCCAAGACTGAATCCGCCGGACTCTTGACTGGCGATGGCGACGAGCGTTCTTGCGGCGCGCGCATAGGGACGTCTTCGACGAGCGTCGCATCCGTGTCATTCGATGAATCTGTACCATTGGTGCGCTGGTCGTCTTCTTCCTCGTCCTGAGACGTCACCAGCGCGAGCTTGGCGAGGTCAAGGGAGGGTGTCACGGCGGGGTCCTCGCAGTATTCCAGATTGAAGAACAGCTCCGCAAGCTGACTGACAACTACGGGGTTTGTCAGTGATAGCCAGCGGGCTATCGAGCCACAAGCTCACATTTCTTGGACCGCTGAATCTCCCTCCGAGTGACCAGTCTGCCTCCGACGCGATGTCGCTTGAGGTCGTCGTCAGTGAATTTGCTATCGTCAAAAGACTTGGTATCTGCGTGAGCAAGCGGCGCCACTGCTTCACGAAGGTCCCTGATGGTGTAGAAATACTGCGGGAGCCTAGTCACACTGGGCGAGTCCCTGACGATGGAGTTGCACGACGTACCTGCAGCAGTGAATTCAGGTAGCAGGTGTTTCCGAGCTGATTGAGGCCTCGCGGCATGTCAGGCGCGGTGGTACTAGACGTGTCGCCCGCTATAAGTCACATGTCAGCTTGAAACTGGGAAATCGCTGCAGAAACTCACGATCCCGGCCAGTAGAGAGGAACCGCCGCAGCCTCTCGCTGTCCGTGACTTCTGCAATGACACTCATCGCCTCTCGCATACGATCAGCCTGGCTCGGCTGATCCTCAACCTATTGCAAGTGCCACGGTCAGAGCGAATTCCGGAGCAAAGTTCCCATAACAAGTAGAGACCAACCCTCATGAGAAAGACTGTGATGAGCATCGACTCGTCGACGTCTCTCGGGACCTCCAGGGTATTATACGCCACATCCGGCGTCATCCCCGACCCGCGCTCCTCCTCCCACGCCTGCCTCAGCACCCTGCTCGCACGCTGGTCCGCCAACGCCCGCATCGCCTCGTCCAGGTCCTTCCGCCGCTCGGCGCCCTTGGACACGTCGCGCCATGCTCTCCGCCGAGCCGTCCGCCACGCCTGGAGAATGAACTCATCATCGACGTCGTCGTCCAGGTCGACGCCGAGGTCGTTGTCGCGCCCGAAGCCGAGCACTGACACGTGCTCTTTCAGGTCATCCAACGTGTAGCGATAGCGCGTGCGCTCCTCCACGATGAGCGTCTGGAGCTCCTGCGGCGGCGTCTCGTTGCTGATGATCATGGTGTTCACGATGTTGAACAGGTGGGTGAAGTAGACCATCGTGTTTGCGGGGTCGCATCGGCATTGGGCAAGGTAGGCAAAGCATAGCAGTTCTGTGTCGCGTGGGGGGTCAGCGCGCATGGCACATTTGTAGAATAAGCATCGGACACACTAGGAGAGTAAGACGATGGGGTCATGCCCAGACTGTGCCACGCTTCATCGAGTCCTGTGGCGCGCTCGAGCGAGATGGGTAACAGCCCACGGGGTACTGGGGACACTTTATTAGCAAGTCGTAGGGCGAAATCCATCGAGTCGTTCACTTTGATTAACATGTGCGCCGATTGCGGATTGGATCATCTCGCGCGCATTGTCCACCTGAGCCCTCGGTTCAAAAGGGATGTATCCCCCCAACGAGTCCTCTAATGATGTGCATCAGCATGGCGTCTCGCTGCACGGGCCACGATACACACTGATTAATTTTTTGTATATCTCCAGCCAAGCGGCGATCTCCACCCACGCACGCAGCAACTTGGCACGATTGAACTTTCCCTCGGGAGTGGTAGGATGGGTG